TATAGGAACCGATATCTTTACACTAAACAGATGTAACTACTTAATAGCAATTGATTACTTCTCACATTACATAGAAATAACTTGTCTTAATCTATTAAGCAGTGATAATGTTATCAGTAAAAAAAAAAAAAAAGAAAGGAAAAAAAGAGAAAAAAAAAAGAAAGAGATGTTTTATATAAGGGTATTGAGTGTGGGAAATTTAACAACCTCCCAAACATAGTCATGGCTTGATGAACAAAGTGAAATAATTAAACATTGTAAAAACACACTTTATACAAGAAATGCAATACATAATGACAAAGAAAATAGATGGATTACTAAAAACATATTCTTTAGTGGTTAAAGTCAAAGCATCAGGGATGAAATCCAAATACATATTTGTTTGAAATAGATGAAACTTATCTAAATATCTTATGTCTATATAGAAAATTTAGACGGTTCCCAAAAGAGGCATTTCTATTCGGCATTTTCCACACCAAGCCATTCATACATTTAACAATCTTAGTATCTTCCATATGTTGAAAAAAATGTCGACTTCTGGAATTCCTTGAATGTTTATTAGATTATTATTATGAGAAAAGGATAATTTATAAATTAACCTGGCCAAATTCATTATCACTTGTATGAAATCATTGAACTCAAATTGAATATCAAATTTATCATCCAACAAAATGGGAATGGGAAATGATCTCTCTTTACCTATATTTACCTTCAAAACGACTTGGTCTAATTTTTTATTGGACTCACTTGTATAAATTTTTACTTAATAATCGCCAAAACTCAGACTCCAGTCAGGATATTTTAACCTTTTTAATATTCCTTTAGAGAAATATGACTGCTGACTACCTATGTCCAATAGGCAATTTATAGAAATTTTCCCCTCCCCCGCCACAATATAATGAGATTTCTACTATAGGCAGTATTAAATCGCTTTCTTCATTTGTAGTGGTTCCTACATGAGTATAAAGAGATATCCTCTTTTTCGATTATTGCATAGTGGCATTATATGTCCCTTAGATGAACATTGTTTACAAGGAATGAACAATTTATTCTGAAGTCTAGGGCAATCTTCAGACTTTAGTAGAGCATCTAATATATAAATTCAGATACTTGCATCTAGCTGTTCAGGTCTCAAAGGTAGCATACTTTGTAAACATCCTTATAGAGTGGTCATGTTATACACAAAATTTACATGGTATCCCATTAGAGCTAATGGAAAAATTCTGTAATGCTGCAACATTATTTTCATTTTCATCAAGATTATTATTTTTAATATCCTCTTCATATACATGGAATGGCTTCTTATTCTTCTTTAATGTGCAGATGGCTTCATTATAATTCTCAAACACATCCTTTAAGGAAGGATAACTGGTATCTACCCTGTGAATGATTCCCTACCTTAAATTATGGGTGGCTTTGATGTGGCTTACAAATTTGAAACCAGGAGAGTCTTCCTCAAAAAACATCTATATCATACAAGGTTTTCAACTCTGACAAATCACTTCAGCAAGATAATGTTTAACAGTCACAAAATCAGTCATATTTAGGACTGGTTAATATTTGTTTGAAGATCTCATGAATTATAAAAAGCACATTCTTTTGTTAACAGACCTACAGCTACTTCATAATCGTTATCTTCTAAGGTAAGATGAAATATTAGATGTAAAGTGTAGCCAGTTAGATAACTCTTTAACAGGGCCAGCTTTGCTTTGTTAGAATTGATGGAATTAGTACAGTTGTTAAACTGTGCTATAAAATTCTTAAATTCAAATTTGGATGGATTAATGCCGCTAAAAGTAGTAATTTGAGAGTTGAGATCATTGAATGGCTGTTGGTTAAGGAACTGGCTTCACTTCTGTTACTTGAACAGATCTCTCAATATCAGCAAGCTGATTATTTACACAGACTTGAAAACCAAATTCATTCCTTCGTTCAGTCATAAAACTACTTTCATTCAAATCCAAATTGGCTTTAATACAAATCTTGATTTTACCATCCAAAGCTTGAACTCCCTGAAGATTTTTGATGATGGTTTCATCGTCTTTAAAAGAATTTTCCTTTAAGTTCTTATCTTGCACCATCAATTCCAAACTTAAATTAATATCATTTTTTAAATTATTTTTAGAGTCAATAAGGGCCTTAACTCCTTTTAATTCTAAGAAGTTATTCATCTTGAAATAGACAATGAATTAAATTATTTTACATTTTTTTTAAATTATATTTTGGACTCCTCTTGTCTGGATATTTTCACCAAACATTGAAGATGGGCAAAATTATTTTTTAATTATATATTTAGACACACATGCCCATTATAACCTCACTTAATTGTGAAGGCAAAAAATATCTTTATATTTTTTTTTGACTCCTTGTGTCCAGATTATTTCACTGAATGTGAAGGCAAAAATTATTTTGTATAATTTTGGACATACGTTTCAGTTAAAAAAGGAAGGCAGTACACTCGGATCTATTTTCTTCCATATAAATTTTTTAAATTATACTTTGGATTACTCATGTCCGAATTATTTCATTAAATGTGAAGGCAAAAATTATTTTGTATCATTTTGGACGCCATGTTGAATCAATAATGACTTCATTGGATCAGTGAAGAAGGGCAGATTTATTTTATATTCTTTGGACACAAGTGTCTATAACCTCAGTGTATCATGAAGGCAAAAATTCTTTATATATTTTTTCTTATATATAAAAACAGTAGATTATTTTGGAGGCATCTTCCCTCATAAAAAGGACAGCAGTCTATTAAATATTTTCTCTCTCAAAGTTTTAAGCTCAAAACTGTCTTGATTTTTTGTTTTCAAATTCTCCATGCCAACAAAATTGCTCACATAAAATGCTTTTTTGGTTTAGTTGTTTTGTTGGATAAAATTGCCTACTTGCAAATATGTTTTTAGCAAAATGTGGGAAATTTAACGACTTCCCAAACAGTTGTGGCTTGATAAACAAAGTAAGACAATTGAACATTGTAAAAACATACTTTATACAAGAAACACAATACATAACGATAAAGAAAATAGATGGATTACTAAAAACATATTCTTTTAGTGGTTAAAGTCAAAGCATCAGGGAAGAAATACAAATACATATCTGTTTGAAATAGATGATACTTATCTGAATGGTGCTCATATTCTGTTGTATTAGCTGCATATCCTTGTATAATTCAGGTTAGCTAGTGGTCATCATGCCTGTTTCTTGAGTGGTCAGAAGACACATTTTATCATTCTATATTCTTCTTGATATCTCTGGTTTTGAGTAGTCTAAAACACGCCCATCTGCTCTGTTTGATTTGGCATCTGTCTTGGTGCTCAAATCCTATTTTGCACCAAATTTTGGGTTATGCTCATTAACAGCTTATAATAGACTCTTCTTATTATCAGCAGGAGCCATCTACCAAAGGGAGATGGCCTATATGTTTTATGTGTCCCTTCTTTTGTTTTTATTGTTGGTTTCCTTTTTATAGCGTTTGTAGAGGTAATAAGATAGTTTAAATGAGTCACTTATACTGTTGGCAGTGTCATTATTGCTGAAGTTGTTAAGAATACACTTGACTTATTATAAAACAACTACCACAAATTGCAAACCCATTGCATAGGTAATTAAAAAACAAGATAGACCAAAAACCCCCAAAAGTTATTACCAATTTTTCCTTTAACTATGTACAAAAACTTACAGCAAAAACAGGGGTAAAATTTGCTTGCTTTTGTGACTATTTTTAAAAGTGGATGCTGAAAAGTTTTTTGCTCAACTCAGTCAGTCAATTATGTGCCATGCATGATACATGCATAGGTGATCATGTATCTTTCGATACATGACTGACAAAGCAGATTTTTTCCCACAGTAGATTGCTATTTCTTTCTGCGGTAGACCAGTTGCCATCCAATGCTTTTTCATTTGATATATAAGGCTAAAAGAAGGAATTAAGCCATATTTTATGTCAGTCAGTTATGTGCCATGCGTGATACATGCACAGGCGATCATGTATTTTTTGATACATGACTGACGAGGCAGATTTTTTCCCACAGTAGATTGCCATTTCTTTCTGCATTAGACCAGTTGCCATCCAAGGCTATAGAACCCGGTCTGTTCTGCTATTTACCCATAGCTGGGGGGAGAAGAGGATTCATACCTTTCCTAAGGGTATTAGCATGTAAGTGAATGTAATGGATTCAACTGGAATTCAAACTTGGACTCTCCAATTCCTCAATCTGAGCCGCTATCCATTACTCCACCATGCCTCCTCACTTGCTCAACTCACTTCCCAAAATTTGGTTTGGTGGGCCAAGAAATTTTCTGCCAACTCTTATATAAGTTTATTCGCTCATTCTCTTTGTTAACTCTCCCACCGCAGATGTCTCTTTCTTTTAAAAACCACTCTAAGATTCCAAAATAAAGCTCCTTACAACCAACATGACTATTTTAAAGGTTTTTGAAACTATTGCTGATCTACAAGAAAAAGCATAGCATAGTGAATTTTACTTAGAGGCAAGGAATTAAATCATTATAAACGTTATTTAATTTTGATTGGACATTTTTCAATTCACAAAGATTAAGTCTTTGATATTATCTAATTTATGATGCAGAATTTTTTAACAGTAAGAATATTTCAAAATAGAAAAATCAATTCACGGATTCAATCAATGAAGTGGCAAGAAATTTACAGGAACATTTAAAAATGAAACAGGAGATACCGAATCAGCACAAAATTGGTGGAAATCAAGAATATCAAAATAATTCTCGATTAAATAATTTACCTGACTTATTTATTTTTCCAACAGTTTTAATATATTAATAGTTGTTATTTATTTATTAAAGAGTGAAATTTAGGAGAAAGTGAGTCTTCGAATGCAATATCGTTTCGTTCAATTTGGATTTTGTATGTAACAGTAACAATCTCTATTTGGCATGACGTGCACGAGAGTTGAAACGAGATAAAACGAGATTTCACCCTGAACCGGTGTCAGGTGTGTGGAACGTTAAGCCACACCATGGCGTTATTCGAAATGGATTTTCTTGACGATGTTCGAAGAATGAACAAGCGACAAGTATGTAAATATTTCCATCTTTTCAAATACTAAGTTCGTGACATTCTTTACTAATTATGAAAGAACAGAAATCATTCATTACAACTTGGAGTTAGATTTTTTAAAAAATGTACAATGGAATGCCGTACAAATATTTGGATTTATTTTCACTTCTTTTAAAGTGAAAGAAATAATAAAAAAAAAAATTTAATAAAATTGTTATTTTTGTTTCCAGAATTGGTTTTTGATATGAAAATATTTTGCTTGTAGACTTTTAGTTTTAGGTTATGACTTAAAACCTTGTAAAAATGAATTCCGATCACCTTTTTTTATGCTATATCTGCCCATGTCCCTTTCAATATTTCTAAGATCTTTATGAAAACAAAATTTTGATGATTTTTTAAAATGTTTTAAAATCTCCTTCTTGAATTTAAAAGTTAAACTTCTACATAAAATACCACAATTAAAGCCTAAAAAATGAAACCATATGGCATTTTTTGATTGGTAAATCTTTTTTATTTCCTCCTTTTTGCTGTTAGTTACAATATTTTCGGTACAAACATACGGATCATTTTTAATTGTTTTTTAACTAGTTAATTATTTTGCAAAAGATTGCTTTTATTTAATTTTAAAATATTCTGGATTTTGTAAGAAAAAAAATCAAGACAAAATTATACTATAACATTGTATTCATTGAGTCGAAGTTCGTTTTCTAATGTTTAAAATTCGGCTTTTTATGCCATTGGCTTTCTTTCGTTATTCTGTTGCCAATATTGAAGATTAAATTTTTAAATTTCGATTATTTTTTTCTTTCTATGTTTGAGGAGGAAGCTTATTAGCGGATTTTTTACTTTTTTTTTTTTTTTTTTTTTACTTACTCTTTCTTTAAAATGTTTGTGACTATTTTTGCAGTATAACAATTTTTTTTTAGCATTTTAGTTTTGTATGTTGTTTTTTTTTTTTTAGTACTTAACTTTTATTTTGATCATCGCAGTCTTTTTTTTATCGGTAATGCTTGATTTGCTATTCTTTGATGTTTTCTTCACTAAATTCTAAATAAACAATAAATAATAATGAGTATTAAAAAGAAGCACGCTATATAAAAATTGAAATCCGGTAAAATTACTAAATAATGAAAATGTTAACATTTTACAAAAAAAAACCCAAAAAGCTACAAACCAATTTTCTTTTAGTGCCCATCTTCGACCATTGTACAATACATTCAATCCCTTTTTTCAGATATGTCGTATTCGCTTCTGCTGTGAATTTAAATAAATCCACGAATTCCGCTGATTCATCAATTAAGTTTTTCTTAGTTAATTGAAATTCGTATTTTTGATGCCGTAATATTTTTTGCATATTTTTCATTAATAATTTTATTTTTATTTTTTTTAACATTTCCACTGAACAAAAAACAAAATTAATATAACTTTCATTGTGTGACCCAGAGATTGAACTCTAACCGCCTAAACAACGCTTTTATCCACAAGGCTATTATCTCCTCTCAACACGAATAAAGGATTTAGTTCGAAATACCAGGGTTACTGAATACGGAAGATAAGGACACTCGTACAAAAATCAATCAATATGTACTAAGTTCTAAATTTCTGAGACTCTTTCGAAATCGTTATTTATTTACACTGAATATTGTCTTCCTAATAACAACAAAGTTGGTAACTTCACAACGTTTCGACTTCTGTACCCTTCCTCATCAGGAATTTAAAACTGAACCCTAGTTTTTAATTTATGGGGGTAGTAGATTGTTTCCATTCTGCTGACCATGTCTAAGGATATCTTGTCAGTTATTGCTCGCATTGCTTTTAAGTCCTTTGATCACTACTAACTGCCCTTCCTATAATAAATTGTGTTGAAATTCTTGTAGAGAGCAATTAAAAATTTAAAAGCTTCTTTTTTACTTCATAACATTGAACATCGTAGAGAGTTTTGTATTCCGACACACTCAAGTTTCAAATAATTTTTTTTCACGAATTAAATACTTTGCCTTAGAATTCTTAAGTTAATGGGTGGGAGGAAATTTCTTAAACATGAATGGGAGGAATAAACATGTCTCAACTGGATTCCCCACAAAAAAAATTGTCATAGCCTATCTACTCAAAGGTAAGCAAAAGTTATGTTTCTTTTAATCTTTAGTAGGTAAATCCGTTAGGCCACGTAAAAAAGCATCACGTTGAAAAAAGATCCATAAATCAATGAAAACAAAGTTTTGTCTCAATAGGTTTGTTATTATGAAGAGGAAAGACCAAAGTATTTTTTAATTATTTTTTGAAATTTTTTACTCCTTTCTAGCACGTAGAAAATTTTGGTTAAATTTTTTTTTTTTTTTCAACAGCGCATTAATAGAGAAAAAAGGTTTGTTTTTAGGAACTCTGAATTGTCATCTTCATTTCAAAGCAGAAATACATAAAGAAAAAATAGTTTGACAAAGTTTAGCCACCAAAAAAAAAAAATGGTTTGTCAAAATGACAGTTTTTCTATTGACATTGCTAATTACTGTATACTCCCTCTTCAATTTTTATTGTTTTAAAAAGCTAGCTATTTTTAGAATTTTAATTTTATTTTAAACCTATGAAACTAGATATACACTTTTTTTTCTTGAAGATTGACATAAAATTAAAAACATTATTATATAAAAGTGAACATCTACAATGCAATATTTATTATTACCATATAATGAAATAATTATAAAAACTAAAAGATTTATTCATAAATTTATACATGTCTGAACTATAGAACAAGAAAACTTAAAAATAATGTCCCAATTTAGTTTTGATATGAAATGAGACAAAAACAGCATTCTTTACTTCAGGTCAACTCATGGTGCAATGAGAGCCAGAATTGGAGGCCATTTCAAATATTTTCTTTTACTGGGAGCAATGATTTTAGTTTGAGATTGTAGTAGTTCCTTCTGTTGTTATCTTAAGAAATACAAAGAAAAAAAGTAGAGATTAAAAGCATTAATTTGTCTCAAAACGTTACTCTTATTTTATTTTTTATTTATTTTCTAAAGTTATATTACAATTAATATATGATTTAGAAGAGCTTAGAATCCATCACTCCCAAACCTGATTAACAAGGGTGTATGAAATGTTATATGATACATTTTAATCTTTGAATTATCCACTTTAAAACTGATTTAATGAAACAAAAACCATGTTGGAACTATGAATTCTGGCTCAAAAATATGAGTTGAAATAAAATAACTTATTTCATATGTAAATAAATAACTATTGTTATGCTTACTTATTTTGTCATAAATATACTTTTATTTTATGATTAGAGAAGTACCTAGAAAAAAATGCATGATTTAGCAGTGAGGGCTATGTTTTCTCATATCCTCATTTATGATATCTAAAATAATTAAATTTATTGAATTATAACATTAACTTCATGTAACAGTATTCTTAATAAGTTACTTTTTTTTGTTTTTATAGTATAAAAATATTACATTTGCTCCTTCTTTTATGTTTCTAATGATAAACTAAAATTAAAAATATCTTTTTAGAAAGAAAAACAAATTGCTCATAAAAAATTCAATTTTCTCAATATATTTGTTATAAATAACAATATCATAGAGAAATATTAACTTTGTGTGACTAATAATGACAGGAATGAAACATAACAGTATATTATTAAATGAAACTTTCTTGAGATTCTTTCTAACATTAAGAAAGATTTTAAATAATCTGATTAATAAGTTATTTCTTTGAATCGAGTAAAGATATAAATGTTACATTATGGTACAATAAGTGACTTAAAAATTTACCCTTTTTTTTTCTTGTTAGAAACAAATAAGGTTTACCATTAGCATATTTGCTTTTTTGAATAAAATTTTCCTAGTGAAGAATAGTAAATTTAATTTTAAATGAAAATTTTAAATTAACTTCCAAAAAACAAGGCCAAGATTCCTAAATTACATTTGTAAATATGTCCCAAAATTTATATATATATCCATCCATCCAAGTATATAATTGGTGTATATGGAATGAATTCCAATAACCAACAATTACTATTCTTAAAAGAGTGCTCAATACAGAGTAGAGCAGATATAATTATTTATTTGGTGCCTTATCAAGTGATCACTTGATAAGACACCAGAGATGTTGAAACAAAATGGCTATTTTTGTAGTGATTTTATAACATATTTATGTTATAATTTTTTTTAAATAAATAATTATATATATATTTGTCATGTTTCTCAAGCTTAGGCATCTGGTTGCTGACCACAAAAGTTATACTAAATTAAGAGATATAAATAAAGTGCTTTTAAGAATACATGCCAACTTTATACTGAAATATGACTCCTCATGCAGTTGGTTTTGTAGCCCCAAATGATAGTATTAAAACTAGAATGTGTTAATTGTGGTGATGTGTTTGCTCAATGAACCTAGCAAACCTCTTGAGAGGAATTTAAATACAAAGAAATAAATTCATACTGATTTAAAAGGCTGCAAGGAACAAATCTTTGAAATGTCATGCATGAATATTTGTCTTGTTATAAAGTTGCATTTTGAGTTAGTAAAACTAAGAAGCAGTTATGCACTCAGCAAGATACTACTGATAGGCTGTATAAAAGATACATGCACAGAAATGTTTGGTTCAGGTACTACTGTCAAATAACACTATAGATCAAAGAATTAACCCTTTCACTTGGAATATTGAAAAATCAATACATAGGACAGATTAAGTTAGCAAAGTGCTTCTCTTTAGCGCTTCATAAATACACAGACATTCCTAACATTAATAAGGCAATTTTCATAGTGTATAGTTACTTTGTTGAACCTGAGAGTGATTTGAAGGAAGTGAGTTGTTTTTGTTTTACTGTGCTTCACTACCCACAAAAAACGTGTTCTGAAGTTTTCAAAACTATGAGTGATTGTCATTAACAAATGTGAATTGAATTATCAAGTTTTGTGTGAATAAATGTTCTAATAGTGCTGATGTAAGGATTGGACAATATTCTGGAGTGGTTATCTAGATCCAGGAGCTTTCTCCATCATCCTTCCTTTGTCGAGAATGTCAACAACCTTAAACAGTGTACTCAGCAATGTTATAAAAATTGTTATTTCTGTAAGAGCAAATTCTTTAAATGAGTCTTTCGTTATCAAGTAGAAAAATCATGTCAAGAGTATTTAAACTATAAAACAAGTTGGACAAATTTTTTCATGACAACCAAACAAATCATAATTAGTTTAAAGACATGTATCAGTTGCAGTGCAGAATATCACCTCATATAGTCACTGGTACCAAATACCAAGTGAAGTGTAATGTGTTATGGTCATGGGTGTTTTTTGTTCATTCAGGTGTATCTGCAATGATAGGATCATTAAAAATTTCTTCTGTGTATTCTAGCAGACCATGATTTTCTTGAGACTTTTCTCAAAAGGCAAAAAACTTATAGGTATAAAGAATAACTGCTGATATAAAAACTACCAACAATATAATACCATAAATTGTCAAAGGTATTGTAACTCTTGGTTGATTTTTCTACTAAGATCTTGAGGTGTTGAGAAATTTAGCAGTAGGGTTAGACAATGTACCTATGTATTGAAGATTCTTTCAGCTTGAGAAGAATAGAAAGACAAAGTTCTTTCTAAATGCAGTGAAAAATTTTCTGTTGTAAACTAAGCAATTGTGGGCTCTGGCTTATCTAGATGTTTATCCAGGAGAATGACATTAATAGATGTTATCTTCCCACAAAGACCTACCTGTTAGGAAACCAAATAGTTATGTCAAAGTATCTTCAACCAGATTCTGGGCTTAGACATTTTGGTAAGAATGATTTGTAAATTTGGTCGAGTAGCCCACTAAATAAAAACTTTCCAAACTCGGCTGGGTTTTGCTGAATTTTGGTAAACACATTAATTTTGTCATGATAATTTCCTTAGAGATAAGTGGGGTAGGAAAATTCAATTGTACTAAATTTACTAAATCTGAGAGGGTTTAAATTGTGTTCAAATTCTACTGATACAGTTCTCATAAGCATTTTATATGCTCTGGTTAATATCTTTTTCCATCAGGTTCCAATTTAGTCAACTAATCTATATTTTCCCCACTTGGTATCTTTATTCCTTCACTTAGAATTCATAACTTTCTCAATACCTAAAGTTATTAAATGATATTTCATGCATTATTATGACTCCATCATGGCTACTGCCCTATTTTAATGTGGATAGTCTAGCTGACTTATTTGATTGATATTTTTGTCCTCTTTAATGATCTTAACACTATGCATAAAAGGATAGCCTCATGGTTTACAACAATGGACTAAACTGATAGACAAAAGAAAACTAGAAGCATGAAAGACTTGAGTGGCATGCATTGGCTATATATCTTTCATCAATTAGCTGCATTCATTGTCATTGCAGAGGAAGATGTTAATGTTATCTGTTATTGGAGAATACTTTAATAATAATTTCAAAAAGAAGATCCACAAGAAGGAGATGAATGGATTTGAAATCCATTGAGAGATGTCTTCACTGTAGAGGATAAATTGTTGAAACTATTGTCAAAAAGAACATGACTTGCTTCATTTTTGCATATTCTCTCAACACATCTCATTGAGACTGGCTTTTAAACCATGAATGACATTGACAAAATTCAGGGATAATATAGATTCTCCATTATAAGTGGCACTTTTCTAAATTGAATTTGATAAGCTGGTAAATCATATTCACTTTTCACATTATTAACAATTAAGGTTTCCCTATGCCAATACTATTTAGATTTTAACATTACAAAATTTATGTATTTAAGTTACCTATTCCCCCTTTCAATCTTCTGCGCGTTCTTTATTCATTGAACTCTAAAATAACTAAAATATTTTCAATTTATTGTACTTTTTCATTTTATTACTTATATAATGACATGCATGTATTTATAATAATTTTATTAGAAGGCTTGCAGTTTGATTTAAAAAGTTTTTTTTTTTTTTTTCATTCACATTGTAATATTTTATGATACTTACAAAATAAGTATGATATATATATATATATATATATATATATATATATAAAATAATTTTTTTGTTTTCATAATATGGTACAAATGTTACTGGTCTCAGGAACATTGGAAAAAATCTGTTAGTAATCTATTTCTGGTAGCTTGTAAAGCACTGATCTGCAATATTTAATATTTCTGAATTGATTCCTTCCATTATAATTTTGAAATATAGAAAGGTACTTAATCTTAGTGTGTTATATTCAGTTATTTTCTTGTTTTCCAGCTGTATTATCAAGTGCTGAATTTTGCTATGATTGTGTCATCCGCACTTATGATTTGGAAAGGCTTGATGGTTGTAACCGGAAGTGAATCTCCTATTGTAGTTGTTCTTAGGTAAGTGAATTTAAACAGATTAGGGATTTTGGTATTCTCTTTAATATATTATTTTCTAAACCAATATTTAAATTTGAGAGCAAAAGGATCAACTGAGAATTCAGTTTGACTCTAGAGATTTTGGTGTGTACCTTTTTAACATTTTTTGTTTTAACCTGATTTTTTTATTATGAACATAATGTATCTGTACATTTAGATTAGAAATCAGGGATATTTAATTTTGACATTGTACCTTGAATATGAGGAAGAAATTACAGAGTTGGATGTTCTGCTTCTCAGTTATTTATGTCAACCATTTTCAATATTCAATGAACTAATGTGGCTAAATTTGTCTGATTTTTGTCTGTTCTGGAAAGGGAGATCACAAGTTTTCAAAAAGAATGTCTTGTTTGCTGGAATGATGTAACTGTTATCAACACAAAAAATGGAATTGGTAGCTGATGAGATATATATATATATATATATATATATATTTATTATTCATCATGTGTTGATGTTCTTGAGAAAGGTATAAAAACTTTGCACTGTTTCATTGCCAGATATCTTGATAATTGATACTGGATGAGTCAACATTTTTGTAAATCATCTTCCCATAACAATTTTACATGTCCAGATAGTCACAGGTAAGAGCTATTTCTGTCATTGTCAACTTGACAGTAGCCTATAACTATTTTAAAAAAAAAAAAAAAAAAAAAACAAATTTAGTCTGTAGAAATACAATGGAAAAGTTGTTAAAGATTTTAAATGTAGTAATCCAATTGTTTCTGATTATTTTCATTGTATTATGCGTTGTCAGTAATTAAGGATGCTGACTGGAAAAAGCAGTTGGTGATCTAGAAAAGTTGAGTAGCTAATTGTTGACGATGACACAAAATACCTACAAGGATGAACAGATACACTTGATGTTTTAGTTTTTTGGTTGGTTAGTTTTTGTTTTAATAAAGGAAAATCACTCCTTAAGTGAGATCCGCAATACAAAAATGTTATCACGTGATTCTAATAAAATGGGCAGTTGTTTTGTAGTCTATAAAACAAGATCTATACCATAACTCTCACTCATTGAGGTACTTTTAGTTTAATAAAATGGACAATTGTTTAGTAACTATACACTGAACCAAAAATATTAGGAGTAGTAAAATGTGGCAAGAATGACAGCTACTGTCTCATAACAACTGCACATGTCAGGTAACCCAGATTTGAGTACTTCATTTATGGGCAAGATTTGAATGACTTTAAAAGTAATGAATTTTTATTTATTAATCTGACAGATTTTATCACTTAAGCATTATTTTTAGTGGATACCCATATTTGAGTAGACGCTTGGGTTATTTATTAAAAAGTGTGTGTGTGTATATACACACACACACACACATTCATCTACCAGCCTGAGAAACCATCATTAGATCCATGGCAAAGTTGGTCTAAAGTATGTCAGATCTAATGATGATTTCTTCTGCCAAGGGGGACACGGGTTCAACTCCTGCTGGAGAGTGTATATTTTTTTTAATAAGATTTCTCGAATGTTCAGGCCAGTAGTTGAAAAATAAGTGTACTGTTTAATAAATAAATGGAGTGTCTACTCAAATGTTTATCTACTAAAAATAACATTTAAGTAATAAAAATTGAAGGTTTACAAATGAAACCATTTGTTTACATTATAAGCTTAGAATTCCAACACATAGTGAGCATGAAGTAAAATAAAATGACCTCCTTACATTACAGTTACATTGTTATTAAATAAAGTAAATAAGTAACTGACATATGACAATCTTTGGTTAGTTTTGGGAATTTCTTATGTTGAATATAACATTTTTAGGGATAGTTGAAAGAAGACTGCTCTTATTGCTAGTATGATGTCAACTCTTGTCACTTTTGTTTAGTTGAGGTTCAAGGCAAATGAGTTGTCAGTGGTGCTCAGTTGGGAAGTCAAGTTGTGACACATTGTAGAAGTGAGTTGTTATGATTCAATTAAACAAAAAGGTTTTGTTTTTTGTTACATCATCTATTGGTTACGAATATATTCACAGGAGACAAGTGGTGTCCTGTTCACACTGAACACAGTCTAATCCATATATATAACAACTGATGGCTAAAATAAATGATATATATAGTTTTAAAGTGTGCTATATTTATGGGATAAAGTGCTCAATGTCAGAGACAGCATATGTTAATATATATAAAAAAGTGAACATTGAAGTCAACATTCAGACGACATGATGTTTCATGCTAGGCACAATCGTCAGGCCTGACGATTGCGCCTAGCATGAAACAGTCTGTTGACTTCAATGTTTTTATCTCACATTCTGATATCAGCTATCTTAGATTTTCATTAGAAGAAAAAAAAATTACATTGATTTAAAATTTATGAAATTTTTTTTAAACATTTGTTTATTTACAGACAATGGTTTTATCTTTCCAATATTTTCCCATTTATTCTTGCTGAAATTTGTATACGAATCTTGATGTAAGGGGTCTCACCATGGGGCAATGACTATCAAGCTAGTTTAGCAGATTCACTAATACAATGTAATATGTGTCTATTTTTCACTGGGTGCACCATATGTTTAGCCTTGTGCCTGACTAAGATAAATTTTGTAAATCTCTATAAACACTTAGATGAAGTATTTGCACATTAATTTTGTCATATGAACTTTGAGGTTTATCAAGAACCTTGCTTACATTGTTTATATACATGTGATATCAGAGGTAGAATTTCTTTTGCATAGTGGCACTGTAAATTCTGTAAAGGAAGGAAGATTAAAACAGCAACCAAGTTTGTATCCGGTGCAATGGGTAAATTGTTGCCATTTTATATTTTTTAATTTCCACATGCCCATCGTTTGTTTGTTTGTTTATGATTTTGTTAAGTACACAGTATAGTAGAGTCAGTTGGGAACTGTCTGTAGTGTTGTCTGAGGGCACCCATAATGCAATTCACTCTGCCAGAAACTTGGAAACTGCATTCTATATTGTTTGGCATTTACACCAAAAGTTCCAATACAAACATTTCAGAGTGTTTGGGTGTCAGTCCGAGGACAGTGCAGAGGATTCAGAAAGAGTTGGATGATATATCCAGTAAACATCATGGTGGTTGGAGTGGTCACTAGTGATGGCAATGTTACGTCTTCCCACAGGGCTTTAGACTCAACACTGAGGCCTACATCAATTACCTTGAGGAGGTAATGCTGTCCTTGGTCAAGAGGGTGCCTGCTGGAAGACCCTAGGTTTTGCAACAGGACTCTGCACCATGGCACACAAGTAAGATTACCCAGTTCTGGCTATCAGATAATTTCTGCAATTATATCACCCCTTACATCTCTGTAACCCCCTTGGTTATTATGTGTGGGGTGCAATTGAGCAAGAGACCAACATATCTCCTTGTAACACCAAAATGGCAGCATTCATCAACTTAAACAAGGAGACCATCTGTCCAGAAGAGTTGCAAGACATTCTGAAGTCATCTGGGGACCATGGTTGAAGCCAATGGGTTGTTTTTTTTTTTTGTTTTTTGTTTTTTAATAAATTGACTATAGTATTTCAAGATATTTTTGTGTAATTTTGGTAAATATATTTGTTAAAATGAGATGTCAGTGTAATTTAGGCAACAATTTCCATCACACTTTGTATTTTAGCATAAACTATACTTCAACCTAGCCTGTTAGTCAAAGCTTTTCTTATTCCTCCCCACTGACTTTACCTTTACTCTGTTACTCTTTTGCTTTGCTTTAGTTATCTTCTGAACTAACAAACTAAATATTTTGAACAAAGAAAATAAATGTATTTCACAATTAAACCCCATAATTTTCTGTTTTTGACCTAAATTTGGTTCAAGGAAATTATGGTAATGAATCTGTATGTCATGCATTGAAAATCAAGAAGAAAAGGATTATCAGAGGTCAGGAATTAATGCAAGCCAATTACTGACAGAATAGAGCTATGAGATGTATGTTCTATTCCCAATAATCATCAATGATTTAAAATGAAGCTTTCAAAATTTACAAGACAATTTTAAATGTTTTGTGTTTCTTGTTTTAGTGGCAGTATGGAACCAGCTTTTTACAGAGGAGATTTGCTGTTTCTTACAAACTACAAAGATGAACCAATTCGGGCTGGTGATATTGTTGTATTCAAAGTAGAAGGAAGAGATATTCCAATTGTGCACAGAGTACTGAAAGTTCATGAGAAGTAAGAAATGTTTATTCTCATTTTGAAATTCTTTTCTTTTCTTTTCTTTTCTTTTTTTTTTTTTTTTTTTTTTAGATTCATTTCTAATTTGCTGTGAGAGAAAAAAATTATCAGTTTGAAAAGAAAACCAATTACTCAATCTCATATCTTTACATCTGTTTTATTCTCAAATTGTTGCTTTTTTTTTATATATATATATATATATATATATATATATATATATTCTTTCAAACATGTTTGGTTAAATAATATAAACAAGTTCTGTCTATCAATTTTTTAAAAATTTTTCAAATTAGTTTTGTTATTGGTAAATTTGCCAAAGTTCATATATATTTTTGATTATTGGCAAACTTTCGCAAATTTAAAGAGCAGAGATTAACTAATTCAAGAATTTGAAGACTTTATTTTAAAAATTGATAGAACTCTTCTATATTATTTAATGAAACATTTGAGAGAATTATTGCTGCCAAAATTCACCTTTTTATTTATTCACACATATACACACCCTATAGTGTAAGAGAAAACCATGCTCAATGTGAAATAACAGCACTATTTAATTTATTAAAAAAATATACATAATACCCTTTGTTGATTACACAATTCAGTTTCATCTCATTTGCAATCTTTAGGTGCAATTTTTGGGTTTGCAATATTTTTTTAATACTTCTGATTATTGCAAAATATTTTATTGTTAGGGCAGATTATTATTAAGTGTTTAAATGAATTGTAGTTATATATCTCAAACATCTCTCTCAAAGTACTTCTGGCACCTGAAAGAATCCAATAAAACACCTACAGTAAAATGGTAATTAATAAAAGATGGAATATGTAAGTCATTAAATGACCCATGTTCTTTGTGCATACATGGGAAACTATATATTACTAAGTTTATAAAAAAATAAAAATTTACTGAATCAGAAATGAAATAGCCATTTTTTGCCGTCATTGTCAAAAATTTTCCTTAAATAATATTTAAAAATAAAATTAAAAAGTGCGACCTGTTAATATACATACTTATACTTGATATGAGAAAATAATTTTATATACTGTAAGTAATTCTAGTACATTTATTTTTTTTTAAAGAAATATAGTCTATTAAAAATTAAAAGTGAAAATATTTTAAAATTATAGTTAAATAAAACGTATTCTAACTTAAACATCCCCAAAAAATCTATAAGTATACAAATAGAAAAAAATGCCGTAAGAATTTTTTGCTGTTAACAATAAAATTTAAAAAAAAAAAAACCCAGACAACATGCATTTAACGGATGTCAGAATTTGTTGAAAAATACGTCCCTACCATACCTAAACATAACCCCTTTTTTTGAACATAACTGATACAACAAAAGTTAATAAAAATGAATATACTACAACCCCCTTGTCTGAATGATTGGATCTCTCTGTATACTTGGAAACAGTGAATTATGAATTTTTCTGTGCCTTTAAAACTCAGTAAATTTAAAAAAATAAGTTACTCCAAAATTCGCTTGAGGATGAAATGGAACTAATGTTTTTAATTCAATTACAAAATTAAATTTGAAGCTTTTAGCTTCCATTTTTGAAACATGGTTATTACTGTGTAGCAAAAAAAAACTTATTTTAAATCAGTTAATTTATAATAGTAATGCTCTGTAAATTTACATTGAGTACTATTTTGTAAAAATATCAATAAAAACACTGGATTATATATCTTACTGTTCTTTCTCAATGGATTTCTTCATCTGACATTATTTTTGTGGATACCCATATTTTAATAATTGTAAATTATGCTTACTGGCCTGTGCATTCAAGAGACTTAATAAACAGTCATGTTTGATTTAAATAGAACTGACAGTCTCTGTGGTTAATTTTTTTTATTGTATTTTTTCCAATTTTCATATAAAGTGTTGTAGATAAACTTTTTGAAGCCCATGCTTGTGGTTTTGTTTTGTTCAAAAAATTTTGATCTTTTTAAAAACTAATGTGGTATCTGTGATAGGCAAGATTCTTTTTGGAAAGATGAAAGTTTGAAATAGTGCACATTACAAGAGGGTGCTGAAAAGTTCTTGACCCAACCAAGTAACCCTTCCAAAATCTGATGTTTAGTCATTTGATTAAATTTTTGCAATTTTGTCAGACCAGGAGTCTTTCCCAGCACACACTCATATTTTGACCAATTTGTTGTGATTAGAACACTGATCAAAACAATGCAGATGAAGATATTAGTCTGAATAATTTGTGGAATAGTAATACTTCATCTCAGAACTTCAAAACACAAATTGTTAGTTTTACTTGTTTAAGATATCTATCCTTGCATGAATAACAAATAGTATCCCATATTTTTGCATCTATTTTTGATGGAAATTTTTTTTTTTTTTTTTTTCAAAATGTAATTGTTGAATTTATGGTGAACATTTGGAAGAAACCTGATTCATTTGCTTAGATTTTTCATTTAATATCTTTAAATTTTTTAGTGATTACTTAAAAGTGATAGTTTGGTTACTTTTTATGTCATTAACCAATGTTCAGAATATTCTTCATCTTTGTGTTTACGTTTTGCAACACCAATGTCTTCAAATATGTTCTTGTAATTCAATCCACTTTTGTTTATTACCTTTTTAATTTTTCTCAAATCTTTTCCTGATATTTTTAAACCCATTTTTATTTTCTGTCCTGTGATTTTTTTTTATTTTTTTTTTTTTTTGCATTGATTTCTAATCACTCAGTAACTTTGCAATACCATGTTTATCTTTGGAGGTCATATCTTTTATCATCTATGGCCATCATTATTTATCTGAAATTAAATGTTAACTGTACTATTGGCCATAATTATTTACAATAATATGATAAACAGCCTTCAAGTTGCATAATAAAATGTTACAGCATGAAATAAGTTAGTGTAAATAATATAGTTATCAAATATACCCAGAAATCTTACTAACGTTGGTTGATTAATAACTGCTTTATTGTGAAAACATTGAATTACCTACTAAAATCTGACTTATGTACACCTGAAAAGTAGTTGACTGTTGAACAATCAAATCAAACACCACATGACAAGAAGAGATTCTTACTTGCGTATCTATTGTTAAATTGCTTGGATAAAACATCTACTTTTTATGATGCTCATTTGCTAAAGTGAAGACCATAAAAAGTTTGCTTTCTTTGCCAAGAGAGTTTAGGGAGAAAGAGTAGGGTGGGTAATATGATATTAAGATAAATTGTTAGTCCTTATATTCATTGAAATTTTCAAATAGAATACGGATGTATTTTCAATAAATAAGTACTAATTCTGTCTTAAAGAATAGACATCTTTTTCATATTAGGATTCTTCCTTGTAGTTTGCCGTTTTGTTTAACCACAATGCAACAATATTTAACTGTAGGCAGGAAACTGAAGCTCCACTGACTGAAATAAAAACAATTGTGACTATATTTGTTTAATAAA